GAGCTATATGCACCATTATTGCAAGAAGTATTCCGAAATACCAGAAATAGGACGTAAGCTCTGATCAGGGAGACTGTGAGCACAATTACCTTCTTTTCAAATCCTTCTGTGACACTGCGGGAGGAAAAAGGACTTTGAAACTTGAAAGGAAAGAGCTTGCTTTCAACCTCAAAAGCTAGGAGGAAAGGGCTCTGAAATTTGCTCAGTATTCCCAATTCACCATTAGCCTGTTTCTTCCTTTAGCCTCAAGGCATTCTCCGCTTTTTGAAAAGATGTTAAGAAATTCAGTCACAATAGAGAGCCTAGTTTTGAACATGTTTCACTCGGTCCATTGAGGTCTGGTCTTCAGCCTTTGTGTGGGGTGAATTGAGCTGAGCAGCTAGCTGGTTGGGGAGAGGTGAATGAGCAGTCTCTGTGCAGTCACAAATTCTGGCAAAGAAAAGATTACCCTTTCCTTTATTTTACAATATGCATTCCCGTACAATCCTGCTAGTGGCAATATGCGGAGCAGAGCTTGTGCTTAAGTCAATATGGAGCACTTGGTTTATAGCAACTCTTGTTAAGTTTGTCTTGTAATTGAAGCTGCTGTTGACCTTGCTTGGAGACCATTTGTAAAACCGTTTATTTAGCATAAACTGAAATAATAAACCCTCCTTCTCTTAGGCCGATTGTGATAGGGTGACATTAGTTTGATTTAATGATTAGCCTCCTGACCCCTCAGCTAGAGAGAGCTGCTTGAATAGGGAGAGTTCACTAGGAAGCACACAGGAAGAATACTAATGAGCTTGTTAAATTTAGCATGGCACCAACCACTTTTAATTCCTCTAATGGGAGAAGCACTGCCTCTGAGAGAGAGGGAGGGAGGGAGAATGGGAGAGAGAGGGAGGGATGTCCACATACCGTAGCTAGAGAATTTTTGGTCAGGAGAAGAGCTTGGAGAGGGAGTAAGCCAGGGTCTTTGGACTGAGTTGTAAGTATGTTGTTGTCTGTTCTCTTACCCAGTTAAAGTGTGTCCTTAATTGGTTATGAGACCATAATGCTAGTTGCAAATAGAAATATGGCTAATGCATTGATTTGCCATTTAAATGCAAGTATCTTGGAATTTTGTTGAGGGGGAAGGGGGCTCCAGGCATTATAAACAATGGTTTTATGCTTATCTCTGACTTTTAAGAGGCTTGAAATAAAAAAAGTGTTCAATTGTGTTTCAGGGTCTGCAGAACAGGAAAAGTTCATGAGAAACAAAGTTTTGGTGGGTTGACATGCCACTGTACATGTGCTTTTAGCTTCTCAGGTGTTAGATAAACTCATAAAAATACATTGGCATAGGCACATAATTTGATTCTGAGGTTTTTGGAAATATTTGTTAATAAAATGAAGCGTTTCTTGATACTGTATGTTACAAAAATGCTTATGGCTAAACAGGGCACATCAATATTATGCTTCTCATCAGACAGGGGAATCTAGGATTATTTTGATAGCTACAGACTGGATACTTTTTCTGTGCGTTTGAAGGTACTAACCCATTTGCATGCAGTGGTGATACACATGGAGAAAGAAAGGATAGTGCTGAATCACATTTGGGTGTGATTTGCAAGTAGGAGAGAAAAGAAAGTTAGGAGAAACTATGCTTTAGTAATTGGAGCAGCGTTAGTGAAAAACAGGTGTGAGCGAGAGGAAAATTAGGCCTTTTGACACCAAGACATTCATCTTTCTGAAACTTCTTGGTGAATCGGATGTTTCTTTTGACCTTAAAGCAAGCTGCTTTTAAAACCTAAGCAGCACAGTAACAGTTGTCTTATGTTTGGCTGTAAGAAGCCATTGGCAGATGCTGCTGGAGAAGTGGGATGTTTGCTTACATTTTCGCTATAGACTCCCACTTGTTGCCATGGTGGACAGTATGTTTCTGTCAATAATTTGGCCTGGCGCAGCTTGTCTGCACTTACTCTTAAACTTTATTGAACAATTCAGCTGAAACAGAACAAGATTAGACAGCTTTCGCCTTTTGGCTCGTTGAAGTGGTTTTACTGCAGTTATAAGAGCACGCAGAATTATTACAAGAAAAGTTTCCCTTTCAGTGTATAGAGAGTTCTTTCAAACCACTCGGCTATTTGTATTCTGGAGTGCGTGTACTGTCAAGTTTTTCATCTCCCCTCTATCAAAAGCAGCTCTGTGGTGCAGAGCCTCAAGTAAACTCTTAACAAAATGTTTGCCCATTGGAATGCCTTATTATTGCAAAAATGTTGTGGCCCTCTACTTTTAAAAATAATTTCTGATTGAATTTTTATAAAGAAAGCAATATTCAAAAATGGTTGACTGACTTTTAGCAGTAAGCAGAATTATCTTCCTGGAGAACGAAGAATAGACTGATGGCAGAAAACAAGACTTTTTACTTTTGTTTTCTCTTTCTTAGCCTTATTTATTGAAATCAAACACATCTTGCTTTTATGTTCAGTTACCCAAAGTAGGCTTTTTAAATTTCATTCACCAATTAAAACTCTCATCTCATGCCACGCCAGTAACTGATGCCTTGATTCACTACACATGTACGTCTTGAGAGGGATAGAGTAAAATCAAAGCATTTGGACTGACAGCAGCTGCTTGCTGTATTCCAGGATGGCAGTTTTAACAAATATTAACTTTATAGGAAGAGTAAAAGAAATTAAATCCCATCTGGTCCTCGCATTCATTATGCAACTACAAAAGTCACCTCAGCTCACTTCTATTCATAATGTAGTAGCACAGGTTAGCCTTGTTCCAGTTATTAAGGGTCTGTCAGTGTTTCAGATAGGGTATAATCCTCTGTTTTCAAGAGCTTGCATCTCAACTGTAAAAGTTCATCCTGGGTTGAAACTTATCATGAAAGGCTTCAGCCAGAGAGAAAATTAGTGGGAAAAAAAACTTTAAAAAGTTATACAAGCAGTTTTATAAAAGCTTAATATACATTTTAGAGCCGTGGACTCCTTTTTTTTTTTTGCAATTGAAGAAGTAAAAACAGCTTTGGTGTAAAACTATTAAATGTGAAAGGCTGTTAATTCAAAATATGGGCTAATGTATATCAGTATTAAGAAAAAGGAGAAAAGGGCAAAGATTTATATTTACTACTTCTCCGTGGGCCCAATCCTACAAGCCCTTTTGTGAACAAAATTAACTCTTGACTCAAAAGAAACCTGTACATGCAGAATCTTGGCCCCAAAATTATCGAAGGCTTTTTTTTTTGGTAGTTTTGCATACAAATCTAAAGTATAGTTGTAGACTAATAAATGTTGGTTTATCCAGGTTATCGCCAAAACCCAACTTGATGTAGTTTGGTATTTCAATACGATCATAGCATGGTTCTGATATCACTGGCAAAGATAGGAATCCATTAAAATCAGTGGAGTTACACTGGTGTAAAATGTGTAGAATTAGAATAGAATCAGTCCTATGTAGAATTAATTGCTGTTTCTTGTCCCTGTACTGGGCAGTCAAAACAAAGCAGTTTTAGCATTAAACTTGAATAAGCAGGTCTCTGATAGTCTAAACTGGACTCTTGTTATTCAGTTATTCTTTTTGTGTGTGAATTGTAGAATAGCTGTTGAACACATTTGTTAATGTTTATGCAAGATGTAGTTATGTGTTCTTGCATAAACAGTGGGCTTCATGGAAACAGGAATGTTGAGATTAAAGTTTCTATCTATATAGGTTGGGGCTCCAGTCAATGATCACATTTTTTAGAGGTGCTGTGTTTTATAAAAGAAATAACATTTTCAGAAAGAGAGAGGTAGTTATCTATGTTAGTCTGAAGTCGGTTACACCAGATATATATGTAGCTAATGACACTTTGCTGTCAGATGGCTCATGTAAAATGTATCTGAGGCTGTGCAGCTAATTGTTGAACAACTGGGCCATTAGTCTGAATGTAAATGTGTGTGTATCATACATCTAGAATGAAATTCATGCTGAAATGGAAGGCCATTGAATGCCCCATAGCAGAACTGTGAGAGCCATCAGTGAAGTAGTCATTATGGGTCCTTTACACCCCTTCACACCTGGTTGGCAGAAGAAGATCCTGGTATGAATGATTATAGGTAGAGATAACTGAGAGACTGTAGAGGAGGCTGAAAGAGTGATTGCAGCTCTTCTCCTGGAGAAGGCACTGTGAGGGCTGTGTTGCAGTCATAGGCACTGACACTAGGTTGGGGGTTGGATTTTACCATTGTAATTTCCCCTTTACACATGTAACGTCCAGTTTTTGCATTTTATTTGAGAGAGCAAATCTCTTATGTAAGTTCTGCTGTGCGTGCATGTGCATTTGTCTGTGTGAAACATGCATGCGCACACACGCCCCCTCTCTTCCCAGTGTTGTAAAGTGTTAACCTTGAATAATGTTCACTGCTACAGATGGGTGACACTATTACAGCAGGTGGTCTCACTGCTTTTGCCTTGTGCTGGCTGAGTATCCACAACAAAATAAACATGTTACACTATTACCTACCTTAATTTTGATAACTAGGGCCTTTTTTTTTTATTGCTCCAGGCTTTTCTAACAGCACATTGACTTGGGGATGGAGTGGCACACTGGCAAATACAAAGCAGCAGTGGGTGGCTAGACTTGATTTAGTCTCAGCTAGCAGGGTTCATCTTCTGTTTGTGACAAATTGTTTTTTTTCTCCCAGTCAGGCAGCCAGAACTTCCAGTCTACTTGTCCCAGAGGCAAGAAAACAGCAAGTCTGTGTCCGTTCTTGTACGATTAATAGCCCCGCTGGTAAATGCATCAGTGAATGGGTGATGATGATCTACTGCTCAACTGCCACTTGGTCTGAATGGGCTAGTTTTTTCAACTGGTATCCCAGAACATCTTTCATAACCACACATGTACTTACTGTCATGAACTTACACTGTGACTTTGAAAGTGGTGAAAGGGGAACAAAAAGAACTTTTTTATTTTATTTGCTATAAATGGTCTAAAAGTCTCTTTTTTCTCTCTCTCTCTGTATCCCTCTCTTTATTTTTTTCTCCAGAGGATGAAAGTCCTGGACAGACCTATCACAGAGAGAGAAGAAACGCAATCACAATGCAGCCACAAGGTGGGCAAGGTCTCAGTAAAATCAGTGAAGAGCCTTCAACATCTAGCGAGGAAAGGGCCTCATTAATAAAGAAGGAGATCCATGGATCTATATCGCACCTTTCTGAACCTTCTGTACCTTATCGTGGGACGGTTTTTGCTATGGACCCCAGGAATGGTTACATGGATCCTCATTATCGTGAGTATTTAATACAAGTTCATTCCAGAAGAGCAAGATTGGAAGCTTATTAAATCTGTCATTTTTTTTGCGTTTTGTATTGGCAGTTTCCATCACACTCAGAATCCATCAATTTACCTAAACAAGGCTAAGTTATTTTAAGAATTCTTATTCTTTTCTTTATGGAGAAGAAAATAGTAACCAGTTCCATTCTGTGTGCAAATTAGCATAGGCCTCTACAAGGCAGGCTTCCATGGGGTATATCATCTGTTGCTAATTCTCACAAACCATCCAGTGTTATGTTTGCTCTGCCAACTTAGCAGCATGTGAAGAAAAACCCTAATTTAAAGAAAGAGCGAAAATTAAGCCTCAAAATAGTACTTTGAAAATGATTTTTAACTATAGTTTTAAGAAAAGATGAAACATGCCTTTTGGAGAGAGATGGGGGAGGGGGAGTTGAGGGGTGGAAAGGCAGTCATTGTCTCCCCCAGCTCCAGTCCTGTGGAATTATGGGGTGGGAGGGGGGACAGCTAAGGGTTTAACTTCTGAATTCCTGCTTAGGCTTTAATAAAAAAGTAAGAAATTAACCAACACTTGAATACAGATGTGGAATGGATTTCTCCACAGGCAAAATATAAAGGAGTTAAGCAATTTTTTTCATCTGCTTCTAGTTAAAAAAAAAAATCATTTAGTTGTGTAGTAATGAAGTACATCTTGAGGTGTCAAGGCTTGTGCCTTTTGATTATAGATTTATCACCCAGTCAGGATACAGATTTGCCATTTAACCTCCCAGTCTCCAGTTCCAGATGATGGGCTAAAACTCACAAAGTGAGGCCAGTTTCTGTTTTGGTTTTCTTTTTTTTCCACATCATTCAGAAATGTTAGTGTTTTAAGGCGAAAGGTCATTAGCCAGATGACTGATTAGTGAGGACAGCTGATTAGTGCATGTATTTTTGCTAAAGAAAGTACCAGGGATAAAAGCTAATTTTATCCCTTCATTAGTTGGGCTAGCAGTAAAGGGGAATGTTCACTCATCAGGGTGCAGATCAAAGTGTCTCTCACAGAACCGTAAGTCTCACCAACTGCCTTTATTATAACAGAGTCTGATTGTTAATAAAGATAGAGGCTATATAAGAAAATGAAACACTTGTTGTCTTTAGAGTCCAGATCAGCTCCTACGTGAAAAGTTTATGATGTTTTTTCAGCTTTAATGTATGACATCAGTTTCTACCTGTACTCTCAAGCACAACCTAGTTCCAATGCTCTAAGCCAGTTATTCACTCATCATGTACCTGAGAAAGGTGTGCAGGGTACTGCTGTCAGACTTGCTCGCAGGAAGAGAATACTACAGGCAAGAAAAACGCTAGCTTTAAGATCTTTGCTATTACTCACAGCTCATCGCATTCAATATTTGTAAATGCAAAACATGGTCTGATGGATTCTGTTGGGGGCAGATGGCAACTGTGTGGGTGGAGTGTGTTGTAGCAGAGCTGAGTTGCAGAGAACTTTGCGATGACTTGGCAAATGTTACTTTGGCCCCCTGATTCAGCTGCCATGTCCCTTCCTAAATACATCTCGGGTCCTAGTGATATCATTTGATGTATATTGCAGAACTGGGTTTGAGTTCTCTGACTGAACTTAAGTGGTGGGGTTTTATGTTTCTCAGTAATATTTCCTTTTCAGTCATCGTTGTTTAATGTATCTAAAATGATCATTAGCAGTTGGTTGTAAAATAGCCTACCCAAAAATCATATTTTAGGGAATTAAGTCATTTTTAATTTAAGAAGAAAACAAATGATAGCATATATCTACCATATACAAAGGTCGTGTCAAAGTCTCTGTATGAAAACATCAAATGGCAGATGTACTTTGCATCTGGTAGGGGGAACTATAGTTTTTTTTGCTGGCCTGTAAAATCTCTGAAGTTACTAATACCATATGAAAGCCCATCACATTTCTATTTACCTGTAATAGATTCGATACAGAAGAACAACTAAATTCATGTCTGGCCAAATTTATAGAGAAGACAATGGGCAGACTTAAATTTTCATAATAGTTGCATCATTTATATATGTAAAATGTGCTTTTATTAAACTCATGATTGCATTCAGCTTGCCACTTATAGTAAGCCATATGAAGGGCACTAAATGTAATCACATCCCAGTTCCTCTATAGCAACAGGCCATCATTCTCTTCCTTAGTTTCTTGCCAGCTTTGCTGAACAGATGGAGAGAAAATACTGCTTTAATCCAGTGTAGCGGGGTATGTAAACACTCATGGTAATTCCTTAGTTTCCCTGTGGTTGGAAAATACAGACTTTTCAAGATGCCTAATTTGTGCTTCTATATATACCCACTTTGTATTTAAAAGTGTGGGCAGGCTTCCTGTAACACAGGAAAAGGGAAGATAATTTTTTTTGAAGAACGGCATCTGTATATTTTTATTGTAGAAAAAAAAGTTTTTAAGTTGGTTGTGTGTGGAATGCATGTCTACAGGAGCTGCTGTTTATTAGAAAAGGCCCGTACACTTTGCATTTCTACATATAAATGTGTGTGTCTGTATGTGGGTTTGGGGTTTTTTGTTGTTTAATTCCTTTTTCTTAATTGAAAATACTGATGGTAACTATCACTTGCAACATTTACAGCATATATGTGGAATAAGTGCATCACTGAGAGGAGTTTGCTGTCCTGCAGAGACAGGGTTGGGGAGGCGTTTGCGTTTCAAGTGGACAAGATTTTCCAACAGCCATGATCAAATACATTACGGGTCTGACAGTCCTACTTATACAGCTCTAGAGATCCTGAGCCATTTAACATTTGAGGATGAGGGAGTGGCCTGATGTTCAGGCTCACACCATCCAGCCTGCATGAAACAAGAAAGGGTATAGACATCCAAAGCAGCACTCAGCAATTTTTTTTCATTATCATCTTCGTCACAGATTTCTTGAAACCACAGTTCTTCTGTCTACTTAAGCTACTGAATAAAACCATTCTTTTTTGAAGAAGAAGCTTTAAGAGCAGATGACAAAACAGTTATGGTCTCCTTTCATGTTTCACATTTTTTCCCCCGCACTGAAGAAACCTGTTTTTGGCATACTTACAGATTTTGTTGCATTTCTGAAGTTTCATTACATTTCAGTGGCCGTGTCACTTTGAGCCTTTTGTTAATGCAAATACTGTCTCTAGAAGTTTGAGATGGGTACTTTTGCTGTTCTTTCCTTAGTTTTAATTCTCTCACAGATTTATAACTGTGCTAAGACTGCCTATCTCCCAAGTAATTCCTCATGGAAAAAATAAATCATTCCTGATGTAAATACTTGGATTTCAAACATACTTTTTGTATTCTTCCTTGAGTTTCTTACCTCTCAAGTGAAAGAACTATTTTTTCCTAATTAATAAAGCCCGAAGATTTAACTTACGTAAAAGGAAAAAGGCAATGTTAGTTTAATAGGCTTAGATATAAACAGTTCTGTGGAAGGTGACACTTCACAAACGGCAGAGGCAGAAGCAGCACCAGCAGCTGCCCCAGTGAAGTTTCATGAATGTAGTTGAGAAGTATGTGCCCTATGTTTTTACAAGGATCTTTTCTGCTAGAGTTTGAATCTTATGTGCTTATCTTGGGTAAGAGGGAATGTTTACCTTACATTTTTAATGGCACTGTAGCATTGTGGAATTGTAGTGTTGGGACTTGTGTACCTTACTGGGATCAGGCCCTCAATAACTGTACTAATTATATTTCAGAGTATTAGCATTGCCTCAGAATCAGTTTGGAAAAGGATCAAAAGGCCCAGGAGGCAAAGAAAACACCATGACAGCTCATTGCACACACTTGTTTATATGCTGAAAATATTTTTTTTTTTCAGCAAGTACTTGGCGTGAAAATTAAGTTAATGCAGAATAAAGTTAATTAAAAGTCTTTCTGCAAATGCAGACTATTAACTGTAAACTCCTCTTTGGGGGCATTAAAATAATATGTTACTTGTTCAGTGACAATTAGCTTTAAGCTTCTTTTGAGATGATGATAGTACCTTAGGTCACTGCCAGCATTATCAGATCTTCCTTTCTCCTGGAATAAAGGCTTTTGCATTGTCCCTGCAAAGTGCATTGTGTTGCTCTGAAGTTCGAGGGTCTTTGCAGAGGGGTGTGGTAGAAGCTGAGTAGAACCAGTGAAGGCCCCCAAATAATATTAGGATATATGTCCTACAGCAGGGCTTTGGGTCTAACCATCACCTCCATTATCAGGCAGTTGTCAGAATATACCCATGACAATTGTAAAGATTAAAGGACATATTAAAGATACTTATGGGCCTAACTCCCATTCAGTTCAGTGGGAGTTAGCCCCATAAAGGTGTTCCAACATCAGGGCCTTATTTCTGGAAGCCCCCCTGCGGCATTTTTTCTGGGTGCCAGTATTAAAAGTATGTACTTAGTGATTTATGGAGTGGTTTCCAACTGACATCAAGGAGGGGTAAGTTAAGAATGGGAAATAAATACATAAACACAGTGAAAACTTAGATTTGTTAATTTATAAGTCTCAGTAAAGAAAGTATCTGATGCAGAATGGAACATCAGACTATCAGTGCCCACTAGAATTGATGGAAAAATGGTAAACAATATTTGCAAAAAAGCATTTTGGCACTGTTTTGCAGTTTTGAAGATTTTTCACCCAGCACCGGTGCATTGCTATCATGGTGACAGCTCACAAAAGCCACATAGAGAGAAATTCAAGTGTTCTCAAAAGCTAACCTAAGATCTGTGGCAGCTTTTGTTCACAATTTTAGATGGGGCATCATAATCCTCTTTAGTTGCACAATTGCTTAGAACATGAAGGGCACTTTCAGAAGTGCTTCTCAGCCCTCTGCTGTGGTGTTGGCCTGCTCATTGCACTGCGGACACTTTGCTTTGAAGTCCTGCTGCTGTGTTGAAGCTCTCCCCTGGAATGTGCAGTATACTGTCTGGGGCACTGGGGCACCTGCTTCTGCCTGGATTCCTTATCAAAAGTAAAAAGAGAGTTGCACTGGT